CTGCTATACCTTGTTTTTGTTCTCCTAATCTTTTTTTCTTTCCTAAAACCTTGTCTAGCCATAATAGTGGGCGCATTTGGATTGATGTTATTTGTTAATGTTAGTCCTAATTGATCTAGGACATCTCGTCCCCATAAATTTATAGGAAGATGATCCAATACATATGGCTCTATAGTTCCTTCACATCCTTCAGGATCCTTCCAATCTAATACCATTGCATTTCTATGGGGATTAGTTGCCACTCGTAGGCCTCGAAGCATTTGAGTGGCTTTTTGTAATGGCCAATGTTTTGGCCATTCTTGACGAGAGATGATGCTAAGGTCTGCACCTGTATCCAGTAGCCCATTAAATTCATGTCCTTGAATATTTAGTGTTAGCATGGGGCGAGAATCTAAATTTAAAGAAAACATAGCCCAATCTACACCTGTGGAGCCTAATCCCTTGGAACCTCTTTCTACAGTACGACTGGAAAATTTATCATGTAGGCTGGGTATTATTAGTAACTGTGCTATTCTATCTCCTGGTGAAATTACTGATATACCCTTTGGAGAACTGGCTATAATTTTTATTTCACCTTCATAATCGGGATCAATTACCCCAGGACTTATCATAAGTCCTTTTAGAGTAGAAGAACTGCGTCCCAATAATAAGCCTACTGTTCCTTTGGGAAGAGGTCCTTTTACCCCTGTGGGAATGATTTGAACTCCCATCTCTGGAGTTAGTACTGTTCTGGCGGAGGCGTAGATGTCCAATCCTGCGCTTCCTCTGGTTTGTCTAGTGAGGGATTTAATGGACAATGTGTCCTGGGCACTACCCTGATGGGGTTGCTGGGTTCCTCCAGTGCTCCGTATATTTGTGGTCTTGGGCCCCAGAGCATTGGGCCCCCCTGTCCATTTGTTGGCAATGGAGCCTGATGCCTTTCTCCACGATATCGTGGATAAACACCTGGTCCTTGTTCATTTTTTGATAATGGAGTACCCTCTATGGTGGTTTGAGAATGGCATTCATTAGCCCAATGTCTCCCTCTACGGCATTTTGGGCAAATACCCGGTATTCTACTCCTTTGATACCTAGTTTTGTTAAGCCCTCCTCCTATGGGGCAATTCCTTTTAAAATGTCCTGTTTGTTCACAATTGTAGCATGTTTTTGGCCTGGCATCTAAAATTTGTTGTAATGCAGCTGCCACGACTTGCCCTTGTTTATTAATGTCTCTACATAATTTAATATATGTGTTTAAATCTTCATGTTTCCATGGTCTAATGACTTCTCTGCACCAACGATTCGCTTGCTCATAAGCCAGTTGTTTTATTAATGGCATTGCTTGTTCTGTATTCCCAAAAACTCTGGTAGGTGTTTGAATAGGCCTATCTACAAATTCAGCGTAAGGTTCATTAGCTCCTTGTATTACCTTAGATAATTGACCTTGTAAACCTCCATGTCCTTGTAAAGTCTTCCATGCCCTAACCGCATCTACAGCAATTTGTAAGTATATGCCAGGATCATATGCAATTTGTTGCAGCTGATCCTCATAAGGTCCCTTTCCTAACAACATATCTAGATTTCTCTGAGGATATCCAGCTGCTGCATTTTGCCTAGTCGTCTCCTTGCAAAATTCCTCATTGGCAACCTTCCATAACAGGTATTGTCCTCCATTTAGCACAGCTTTACACATGGCGTCATGTTCAAATTGGTAATGGATTCGACCATGCTTACAGTGAAGGGTGCTTGAGGACCATAGGTTGTTACAGCCTCTTTTAGCTGCTTCACTGTTTTGAAATTTAAAGCATGGTGAATTCGCTGCCCTCCTGCCTGCTCAAATACAGGGCATGTTAGTATTTTCTCAGGATCCCATCTATCAACTACGGGGGTTGGGGGCCTCCCAGCATATGGAGGTGGCACTGTTGGTTGGACACTTATGCCCTCTGGTGATAGAAAGGTGTTAGTAGCAGTCTCCTGTAGAGGTGTCACTGTTGGTTGGACACTTACGCCCTCTAGTGATAGAAAGGTGTTAGTAGCAGTCTCCTGTTGTAACTTTTCCCCTAATGGCTTTTTCTGCTCTAAACTTTCTTCCGCTGTCTGAGTAGCTCGAGAGACCTTCTCTTTTATTTGAATTTTTTCCTCTGTCTGACTAGTTCGAGAGACCTTCTTTTTTACTTGAATTTTTTTCTCTGACTCGCTTGAGAGACCTTCTCTTTTACTTGAATTTTTATGTCTTCTCCTTCCTCTACCATTGTCTGAACTGAAGGCTTTGGACTAAGCAAACAAGATACGAACGTCCACAGTGGCAATGTGCCAACTAGCAGAGTCCCTGGGCTATTCTTTTTTATTCTTTTTAAATCTTCACCATGATGGTTCCATTGTGATATATTTAACAACTCCTCCTTAAAAAGCCATGGGCTACATTTTTGTATTGTATCAACGTATACCCTAACTGCTCTTGATTTTACTGGGATGCCTCCTTCCTCTAACAATTTACTTAACACTCTTTCAGTTTGTTTTTTACTAATTTCTGATCCCATATTTCTACTATAACTATAATACAACCCAGCAAGATGACGCCAAACAAAACCGAAACAGAATGAAACAAAAATGGAACAACAAAGAATCATTATATCAGCCTTTCTATCCTCCTGGAATGTCCATCCGTCCTTTCTCCCTATCTGTTCCTCAAATGCAAATAGTTTTTCCTCAGATGTGAGCGGTTTTTCTTCCATCTTACACATCTCCAGGGACAGGCAACTTAAAACAGAAGCGAAACAAAACAAAAGAAGAATCTTAAAATGGCTACCCATCCTCTTGCCCAGCCCTCAGGGGCGAGCAGTTTACCTTATCACTTACTCTCAGTTGTTCCCCTTGCGGGCCACCAAATGCCACAGTCTGGCTGGGCACAATTCAGGAGCCACTTGTCAAAAGAAACGAACTTTATTTTTAGAACACACACACACCGCACCACACAGCTCTTCAGGAATTCCCTCAGAGCCCAACTGCCACCACTGGCTTCCCACAAGCCTCTCAATCTCCCCCCACCCCTCCTGCTCTTGAGGCCGATTGGCTGGGTCATGTGGGCGGAGCCAAAAAAGTCCCCCAATGAGCAGCTCCGTGGTCTGAAAGGGCGGGGAAATAGCCCAATGAGCATCACCGCAGAGGAGCCAATCAGCTGGCAGCTAGAAGTTTGCTGGGGCTGCTGTGAGCCAATCATCAGCTGGCAGCTGGAAGTTTGCTGGGGCCCCTTTGGCTGTGGCTCTCAACAGTTATCCACCTGTCTTAACCTCCCGAGTTGCTGAGATTACAGTCATATACCATCTGTGCACTCCCATTTGGAGGCATTTTCATATTCATGTCTGGTTGATGCTAGTGCCTAAGCTGGACAGAATATCTCCATCTACTCTTTAGATGTGGTCTCTCTGGACTAGTTTCGGCTTCTTCCACCCTTTTTTTTTCAGTTGTGAAGATTGAACCCAGGGCCTCATACACACTAAACAAATGCTCTTCAATTGATCTATATCCTTAACCCCTAGTTTGGTCCTCTTAACAGTATGTTGGCTGGATTGCAGGAGGGAGCTTCCATAATCACTTTTGGTATACACTATTGGTTGAAGCAGTCAAAAAGTTCTTCTCTGATTCAAGGGACAAGAGGGTACATGAACTTCATCACATAATAGGAAGATGTGGATTAGGAAATATGATCATGTTATGGGTTGAATTATGTTCTCTCTTTCTCTTTTTTTAATTAATTTTCTTATTTTTAATTTTGTAATTGATTTTATTTTTTTAAATACATGACAGCGGAATGCATTACAATTCTTATTACACATATAGAGCACAATTTTTCATATCTTTGGGTATAAAGTATGTTCACACCAATTCATCTCTTTATACACGTACCTTTTTTTGCATTACAATTCTTATTACACATATGTACCAAAATTTTTCATATCTCTGTATATAAAGTAGGTTGACACTGAATTCGTGTCTTCATACATGTCCTTTGGATAATGATGTTCATCACATTCCACCATCCTTGCTAATCCCCTGCCTCCTCCCTTTCCTTCCCACCCCTCTTCCCTATCTAGAATTCCTCTATTCCTCCCAAGCTCCCCCTCTCTACCTTTGGAGCTAGTCATTCTGTGAAAATGCTCTTTACTGGTTTGAGGACAGATTGATAAGGGTCTCATTACATCTTATTTATGATAAATACACCCAGTTTTTTTAAAAATTAATCATATCACAACATTTCCCTATCATGATCACCTCAATGACATGTTTTAATTCCTGCTTTACAATTGGGTTTGACTAAAATCCTGATAAAAATATACTTTACATACTGACTCAGCACACCTGTGCTTGTACATACATACATACAGTGTATATTTTTAATACATATGTGAAGTAAAAATTTCATATAAAATTATATCTTTTGATATTTTTTGCCCTTTTTCTTTTTTCTTTTTGGTACCAGAGATTGAACCCAGGGACACTTAACCACTGAGCCATATCCTTATCCCTTTTTATATCTTATTTAGAGCAGGGTCTCATTGAGTTGCTTAGGGCCTTCTAAGTTGCTGAGGCTGGCTTTGAACTCGCAATCCTCCTGCTTCAGCCTCCCAAACTGCTGGGATTACAGATGTGTGCACTGGCTCTTTTTCATTTTTAAATGAAATATTTGTGTTACCATTTAAGTGATTTTATCACTCCCTTGTGTGTTTCAGTTTGTAGTTTGCAAACATGAAATTTGGAAAAGTTTCCAAAACCTATATGTTAGGGTCATTATTGCTAAAACTTGTTTCATCTTTATCATCTCAGAGAGAGAATTCTAATGGTAATTTTTAAGTAGAACTTAACAGGATTGTGCTTGCCTAGCATGTGTAAAGGCCTGAGTTGGAATCCCTAATGTAGCAACAACACAAAATTTAAAAACAAAAAACAAGACAGGATTCTCAAGTTCTCAGTAATAAATGCAATAAAACTAAAATCTATGCAACTTATTTTTTAATCCTCAGGTGGCGACAGACAAGGTTGCAGAAAAGCTGAGTTCTACTCTCTCATGGGTGAAGAACACAGTTTCGCATACAGTCAGTCAGATGGCCAGTCAGGTGGCAAGTCCATCTGCTTCATTACACACTACATCCTCATCTACCACACTGTCAACACCAGCCCTTTCACCGTCTTCCCCATCACAGTTGAGTCCGGATGACTTGGAACTCCTGGCTAAACTGGAGGAACAAAATAGGTGAGTGAGGTTACTTGGTGTTCTCTTTCCAGTTATCATACAAATCCAACTAAAGTAAAAAAAAATTAAATATTTACTCATATTAAGAATGTTTGTTTTCTAGTTTTTGGCTTCTTTATCAGATTATGTAACAAAGTATTTTAGTCTTTTGGGTTGAGTGTTGGTCATGAAAAAGATTAACTTTTTCTTCCTGTACGGTTAGATTTAGAGGTTTGTTTTCTTAATACAGCAGAGTCCCTAAATCCCTCCTGAACTTTATTTAAAAATATTTTTCTTTGGTGGTACTGAGGATCTCACCCAGGGCCTTGCATTTGCTAAATAAACACTCTACCACTGAGATATACCCTCAGCCCTACCATTTTTATTTTAAACTTTCTTTATAGCCCCCTTTGGTTAAAATGTAAAACAGTTTAATCCAGTATGAATATCTGATTTGTGGTTTAGAATGGGAAATCTTTTCAGAAATGTAGCCATGAAAGGCACTATATCACTATCTCATTAGAGTATGAAATGGAATAGTTGTTTACTTTGCTAGGAATGTGTACTCTGGATCCTTTGTATTTCTTCACTATGTTATTATCAAAACCTCATTGGGGGTATTGTGTACAAAACAATATAAAGAAGAATACCCTTTTGTGTTTGACCAAGTTATATAATGCCACTGGCTGTATGGATAATAATAATGGTAATTTTTAACAGCTTTTTTGGTGTATAATTGATATAACAAATTACCAATATATAAAATGTACATTTTGGTAAGTTTCAACATTGGTGTATTCTGTGAAATTATCACCCAAATAAAGAAAAAAAATCTGTATCATCTCCCCCTCCATGTCCCACTGTAGAAATAGAATCATTCACTATTATACCCTTTTTGTATGGATTGTTTCATTTAACAGAATTATTTTGAGAGTTGTCACTCCTTTTTGTTGCTTAGCTGTATTCCATCATATGGATATATCACAGTTTACTCATCTGTTGCTGTGAATGGTATAAACATTTGTGGATAGGCCTTTGTGTTAATGTATACTTTTCGCTTCTATGGGACAAACACCTAGGAATAGAATTGATAGATTGTATTGTAGATATTATGTTTCACTTCCAAACTATTTTCCAAATGGCCTCTATTTTTTCACATTCCCATCAGAAGTCTATGAAATTTCTAGTTCCTGTACATCCTTGCCAACAGTTGGTTTGGTCACTCTTTTTTAATTTTAGTCATTCTATGAGTATTGATAATATGTGGTTTTAATTCAGCACTCATAGTGTTGAGCATCTTTTGTATTTATTTACCATGTGTATGTCATCTTTTTTCTTTTTATGGCACTGGGGATTCAAATCATGGGCACTCTACCAGTGAGCTTCATACCCAGACCTTTTTACTTTGAAATATGTTCTTGATAAGTTTCCAAGGCTGACCTGAACCTGTGATCCTCCTGCCCAGTCTCCTGAGTCACTAGGATTCCAGGTGTGAACCGTTCTGCTTGACTAACTTATCATCTTTGATTTTAAAAAGTAAGGTAAGCCCTACTTGGTGGCTCACTCCTGTAATTCCAACTACTTGGGGGGCTGAGGCAGGAGGATTGAAAGTCAAGGCCAGCCTCAGCAAATTAATGAAATTCTGTCTCAAAATTAAAAAATGAAAAGGGCCTTGGATGAGCTCAGTGGTAGAGTCCCTCTGGGTTCAATACTTAATACCAGAAAAACAAAAATAAAGTTAGGTTGTTTGCTTTCTTGTTATTGTGTTTTGAGAGTTCTTTATATGTTTGGGATATAGATACCTTATCAAGTACATGATTTTCAAATCTCATTTTTCCAGTTGGTGGTTTTTTAATCTCTTAAAAGTATCTTTTGAGCCATGCGTGATGGTGCACACCCATAATCCCAGCTACTCTGGAGATTGAGGCAGGAGGATTAGAAGTTTGAAGCCAGCCTGGTCAATTTAGCAAGAACTTGTCTCAAAATAAAACTAAAAGAGGACCGAAGATGTAAATCAGTGGAAGATCATAGCATGTATGAGGCCCTGGGTTCAATCCTCAGTACCATTAAAAAAAAAAAAAGTGTCTTTTGAAGAGAAGTTGTTATAAATTTTGATGAAGTCCCAATGTTAAATTGTTTTTTTTTTTAATAGATTGTGTTTGGGTGACTCACGGTTACACAGGTTCTCTTATGTATTTTCTTCTAGAAGTTTTATTATTATTATTTTTTAAAGAGATGGGATTTTAACAAATTAGAACAAATAAATTTTTTTAAAAAAAGAGATTTTTTTTTTAATGCTAATTAGGCTGATCACAAAGTTTGGTACAGAAGTAATCCTTCTACCTTAGCATCCTGAGTAGCTGGAACTATGGATGCCCAACATCATGCTCAGTCCAAGAAGTTTTATAGTTTTAAATTTTACACATAACTCTGTGATCTATTTGAGTTAATTTTGTATTTGATGCAAGGTGTAGATCAAAGTTTATTTGTTTGAATATGCACAAACATGATTTTTCCTGTACTGTTTGTTAAAACCACTATCCTTTCTCTATTTAATTACTCTTATAATTTGGTTAAATATCAGTTGTCCATAAATATATGAGTCTCTTTTTGGACTCCATTTTTTTTTATTCATCTCTTTCTGTTTTTTAATGCCAACATTATACTACCTTAGTTATTATAGCTTTATATTGAGTCTTTTGTTTTTAATTTTTTTTTAGTTGTAGATGTAAACAATACCTTCATTTCATTTATTTTTTGCTGAAGATTTAACTCAGTGCCTCACACGTGCTAGGCAAGCATTCTACCAGCGAGCTACAACCTCAGCCCCTGTATTGAGTCTTGAAATCAAATAGTGTTAGTTTTCCAACCTTGTTGTTTTGTTTTGGCTTTTGGTTCTTGACATTCCCATATAAATTTTACAATCAAGTTGTTAATTTCTGGAAATATCTGGAAATTTTTGTTGAGATTGCATTGAATTCCTAATGATATTGTCTTCTACCCCCCAAACAATATATTTCTCAATTATTGTTTGTCTATGGTATGTTTTTAAATTTAGTTTTTAATTGCTCATTGCTAGCATGTGAAACTATAATTGTTTTTCTTATATTGATCATAAATTCTGCAGCCTTGCTGTATTCATTGTTCTTGTAGGAGTTTTTTTTTTGAAATGTTTTAGATGTTGATGGACCTTTATTTATTTATTTATTTTTATGTGGTGCTGAGAATCAAACCCAGTGCCTCAACATGCTAGGCAAGCGCTCTGCCACTGAGCCACAACCCCAGCCCCTGGTAGGAGTTTTTATTTTTGTTTTCAAGATTGCATTAGGTTTTTTTGTATAGTTGAACATATTATCTGTGAATAAGAGCACTTTAACTTCTTTTTCATCTTTTGGATACCTTTTGTCTTTTTTCACCTGCCTATTGCAACAAATTAGAACCTCAAGTATACATTAAAATGGTAATGGCAAACAGACATTTTTGCTTTGTTGTTCTTAAGGTGTAAAGTATTATATATGCTGTTAATTGTAGGTTTTTCATATGCCTTTTATCAGGCTAGGTAAATTCCTTTTTATTTCTTATTTGGTTTAGAGTTAAGATACATTTTAGATTTTATAAAATGCTTTTTCCAAATCTATTGAAATGATCATATGATTTTCATCTTTTAGTCTGATAATGTGGCAAGTTGATTTTGAATCAATTTTGCATTCCTGGGACAAATTCCACTTGGTTATGATATAGTGTCTTTATAAAATATTATTGATTTGATTTGCTCATTTTTTTGGGGAATTTTGGATCTATGTTAATGAAGGAAATTGATTTTTATGATAGTTGTCTTCAAATGGTAGTTGATTGGAAATGTCTTTGATCTTTAATTGAAATGTCTTGTTACCTTATGATGCTTGTGTGATCTAATATGGGTTTTTAGTGCTTATTTTTTTTAAACCTTGCCTTAGCAACATTCCTTCAAATTTATTACTTGTTTTATGGCCCTGAATATTGTCTGTCTTGTTAAATGTTCTTTGGCATTTGAAAAGAATGTGTATTCAGCTGTTGTTTGCTGAAATGGTCTATAAATGTCTGTTGGCTCAAGTGGATTGATAGTGTTGTTCAAATCTACTATATCTTTGCTGGTTTTCTTCTGTTTACTTGTTATGTCAGGTATTGAGAAAGAAGTATTAGAATTTCCAGCTATAATTGCATATTTGTCTGTTTTCTTTTAAATTCTGTCTTTGTTTTATGTAATATGAAGTTCCATTATTTGGTGTATGGACATTGAGGATGTCTTATATCTCTTTATGACCTTTATGCTTAGAAATCTACTTGATTTCATTAATGTAGTCACTAACTTTTTGAATAGTTTTAACATTTTATTTTTCCCCATCTTTTATTTGTATTCTTTGTGTGTGTGTGTGTGCACGCGTGCGTGTACATGCATGTGTGTGTGTGTATGTATGTGCGCTGTGTATCCAACCTAATGCAATCAACCTGTGTGTCTAACCTAACTCACAGGCAAGCACTCCTCCACTGAGCTATATCTCAACCCTTATTTAGGTCTATTTTAAAAATACAGTCTTACTAGACTTTTGATTGGGTTAGTTAGATGTTTAACTTTTTAAAAAACGTCAAGTAAGTTTTATTTCCTGCTTACAATCACATTCATCTCAAGGTACAGGTGAGTACATCTTTACTTCATACTTCCTTCCAGGACCAGAACCCAGGTGCTATTCAGGGTAAACTGGACTTAGAAGGAAAAAGATGTAATTGAAAATACCCAGGGAGTGATATGTATAACTTTTCCTTTACATTTTATGACCCCCAAAGCAAATCAAATGGCCAAACCTTTTTGAGTCAGACAAGAAGTATAATTCTGCAGAGGTGAAAACACATTTTATTAGTTTCTTCTTTTGAATTTTTATTTTAAATTTATTCACATGCCATAGAGTTCACCCTCTTAAAGGATATAATTTAGTGTTTTTTCAATATAGTCACACAGTTGTACAACTATGATTATACTGTCC